CTAATGTGTGGTTACAGGATAGTTTTGTTTTTATTTATTTAAAATTTTTATCATATCGTTCCAATTTAAATGTTGTTGTTGTTTCACCACAGTTTGCTGTTGTTGAGTACCATTTTGGGGAGGGTGTTGATCCTCCTAATATTTTTGATTGTTGTTATAATTATAACCAGGATTATGATATTTTATTAATTCCGATTATTTTTCCTGGTCATTTTGGTTTGGTAATTTTTGATCGTTCTGATCGTGCTAATTTTTCTTGCATTTTTGTTGATTCTTTGCCATCTGTTAATCGTTTAACCGATGTTTCTTGTGGTGTTTTTGATCAAAGGCGTGTCGATTTAATTAAAAGGTGTATTTGTGATTTGACACCTGGACTTTTTGTTGAAAATATTAATATTCAAGTTTTGTCCCGTTCTCAATTTACTGAACAAAGAGATGGGACTAATTGTGGATTTTTTGTTTGTCTTTATTCGGAGTTATTTTTGTTTAATAATAAATCGTTAATTATTCCTTTTTTAAACATTCAATATGAGAGGAAGCGTATTTTGTGGAATTTATCGCAATTGATCCTTTCTAATGATATTGAATATGTTGGGGTTTTTGATTATAATCCTAGAATTGCTCCAGTGCAAGAAAATTTTTTTAATTTTAATTTAGATCTTGGTAATGAGATAATAGATAATTGTGTTGTTAATAATTATCCAGTTTTGGATTTAGAGCCAGACCCACCATTAAGGAGGTCTGAAAGAATTGCTGCTAAAAAAACTAATTCTGTTTCTGAAATTTCTGAAACTGAATGTAATGAAGATGTGTTTTTTAAAATTTCGTCTCACTGTGGAAGGTCTCATAAGCTCTATCCGTGTGCAGATGTTAGGTCTATGCATTATGAGCCTTATTATGATTCCGGTAATTTTGGTGATAAAGAGTGTTGTTTTTGTGGGGCTTTATTGTTAAACACAGAAGTTAACGAGGCTTTTCGCCAGAAATATAAAAAAATTACTTCTTCTTTTTGTTGTAAGTGTGGTTTAGTTACTCTTCCGCCTTATAGTCCACATCCTCAAATTTTAAAAGATTTAAGTGCTGGTGATTCACAAGATTCTTTAGAGTTTTTGCAACACCAGAATATATACAACTCATTATTGGCCTTCGCGTCAGTTTATGTCGGACATAGAGAATCAAATCTTGATGGTGGAATTTGTTTTCTTCTTAACGGAGAGTTCGTTCGTAAACTTAGTTCGATTACGCCTGGTAATGATGGCCCTTCTTTCTCACAATTGTATATTTTGGATGCTAATACAGCCTTTGAAAATAGGGTTAATAATGTTTCTTATGGTGGTGATAGAGTAGACCAAGAAACTCTTAGAAATTTAGATACACTTTTACGTCAAACCCATCCTTTGGCAACTATTTATAAAAATTTCCACACTCAATATTTGGATAAATTACAATCTGATGGTCTTGATTCTGTTAAGTATTATAGGCTTGTATTATTAGAAGAAAGGGCTGCGCCTGTTAATGTTCGAGATCCTTCTGATCATCCTAGGCAAGTTAATCTTCCTACAGAAGAGACTTTATTTTCGATTTGTACTGAAGCCGATGAATTGCCACAAGTTAAAGGTATCTATATAACAGATCTTGAAGGTCATTTGTTCACTTTTGCTCCTAATCATCCTTTAACAGACACATTATGTTATCCCATTCTTTTTCCTTGTGGGGATGATGGTTATCATGCAAAAATACCTTTGAATAAAAATAATTTAAATAATATAAACAATGATTCGTCTGATGATGATGCTGAAAATTCTGATAAAAAAAATATTTCTGTTAGAGCTTACATTAAATATCGCCTTGCTTTGCGTAGAAATGAAGGTTACCATAATATTTGGAACGCAGGTGGCGGCTTGAGTCAAAAATTTGTGTTAGATTATAATGCTAGAATAGATTCCTCTGTTGCTAATTATTTAAGGAGAGACGATATGGATTTGCGTGCTACATATCCTCCAGATGCACTTAGATGGTTGCAAAGGGATTGCGGTGCTAAATCTGTTTCTGACCTTGGTCACATTGTTGCGTTTAGGAAATATCACCCTGGGACACGTCCTTATTTTCAGGAGATGTTTTATAATGCAACTGCAATAATGGCCCGAACTCGTAAAGCTGGGTTTTGTTCGTTTATGTTTACATTTACTTGTAATCCAAATTGGCCCGAAATAAAAAGAAATTTATTACGCGCTAACCAGAAAATTGTTGATAGGTTTGATATTATTTGTCGTATTTACGAAGATAAACTTAGAAAACTCCATTATCTATTAGAAAAGAAGCATATTCTTGGTAACATTTTAGGCTTTGGTGAAAGTCGTGAGTTTCAGAAAAGAGTAGGCGGTCCACATTTGCATAGAGTATATTGTACTGATATTCCTGCTACGCCTGAAAACGTTGAAAATTTAATTTGGGCACATATTCCTCCAGAACCACCTGCAAATGATAAGTCTTCTTGGGCAAATTTTTTACGTAAAGTACGTGAATTGTTACCTAAGCATCAGTTTCATGATTGTGGGTCACATTGTCGTAATATTAGGGGTAACTGTAAGAAAGGCTTTCCAAAACCTTTCAGTAAATTTACCGTTTTACACGCTAACAAACCAGCCGAATATAAGCGCCCGAGTCCGGAAGACGGCGGCGAAACGTTGGAAATTAAACGGGGCAGAATTACAGTTAAATATGATAATTCGCGCGTAGTAGCTTATAACCCATTTATTCTTGTCATGTTTCACTGTCACCATAATCTCGAATTTGCGTATGGACAATCTGACAATTTAAAATATGCCTTAAAATATCCGTTTAAAGGTAACAGTTTTTCCTATGTCCGTAGTGCTGTAGATGGTCTAATCAATGTTGATGAACCTGCACAATACGCAAAAATGATTTATCGTAGTCCAACCGAGGCTTTTTCGCGAGTAATGGGATATAAGTATGCCTTTCTTTCACATACTGTTATAGGTTTGAAAATTCATTTGCCGGGTAATCAAAAATTAGTTTTTAATTCTAAAACTGCTCCTGCGGTTCTTGCTAACGTTGAAGAAGGCATTCTTCCAGATACACATCTTACTGCTTACTGGAATTTATGGCGAAAGAATATAAATAATCCCCTTATTAAAAACATGCTCTTTGAAGTTTTACCTGAAACATATTCATTTGATAGCAAAGAAAAAGTGTGGCATAAAAGGAGAATGGCTGAAATTCGAAAAATAACTAAACCAATTATCGGCAGAATTTATCCCGTCTCACCACGTGAACCAGAACTTTTTGCTTTGTATATTCTAACTAAGCATTTTCCCGGGGATCCAGAAGAGCTAAAAACCTTTAATGGACATGTATGCACAACTTTTGCGGATGCTGCACGCTTAAGGGGGCTTTTTGAAGATAATGGGGTTTGGGAACGTACGTTAAGGGAGGCTTCCTTTTCTTTAAATCCCTCACAGATGAGGCAATTGTTCGCAAATATTCTTGTATTTGGGGGAACAGAGCGGTGTGTTATTGATGGTTATGTTTTGTGGGAAATGTTTAAGGATCAGATGTATGATAGGAGGCGATGTACTGAGGCTGAAAAGCTTTTACGTATAGATAGAGCATTAGCTATCATTGAGAGATATTTGTTAAGCAATGGTCGTTCTATGGATGATTTTGGTCTTCCTTCGCCTAATAATTCAATCTTAAATGACCCAGATAGAGCATTAGATGATTTTTTCTTCCCGAACAACGTTAATAGTGACGATCCCGACGAAACATTAGATACCTCTAATTTAGAAAGGGCAAATTTAAATGCTGAACAAAATACTTTCTTTAATATGATTCGTGATGCTGTTTTTGACACTAATTCTGTTAATAAATATTTTTATTTGTCGGGAGATGGGGGTACAGGCAAAACATTCTTATTAAATTATGTTCTTTATCAACTTAGGCAATTAAATTTAAAAGTTTTACCAACCGCCTCGACGGGTATTGCTTCGACAAAGTTTTATGCAGGTGGTATGACATTTCACTCTGCTTTTCGTTTCGGGATTGATGTAGAACCAGGCAAACTTCCTTTAGTAAAGTTTGACAGTTTTTTTGGGAGAAGAATTATAGAATGTGATGTCATTATTATTGATGAGATAACCATGTTAAATAAGACTGTGTTTGAAAATGTAGACCTTTTGTGTCGTAATATGGTTCCTCAAAATAAAAAACTTCCTTTTGCTGGGAAAGTTGTAATACTTTCAGGAGACTGGAAGCAGTCTTTACCTGTTGCTGATTCTGCTTCCCCTGGTGCTTCTGTTGCTGCTTGCATTCAATCCTCACATTTGTATCCCCTTTTCCTCAAATTTAGGCTTGTACAAAATATGAGAGTTATTCCTTCTGAAATTCAATTTAAGGATTGGCTTTATAGTATTGGTACCGGAACTATCGGTGATTCAGTTAATATTCCACCAAACATGATAGTTAATTCACGTCAAGAATTATATGAATTTGTTTTTGATCAAGGGTTTGCAGTAGCAAGTAATGAACTGTTGAAAAGATTAATTTTAGCCCCAACAAATAGGGTTGTTGATTCTATCAACTCTGAAATCATAGATATGATAGATTCACCAGAGATCGAATATTTATCTATTGACAATCCAACAAATGAAAATCCTTTAGCTTATAATGCTGCTGAATATGACGTTTCAACATTAAATCGTCTCACTCCAAATGGAATGCCAGCTCATAGTCTCAAGCTTAAAGTAGGCTCCGTAATCGTATTACTTCAAAATTTAAACACACAAAAATCTTTGTGTAATGGAACGAGACTAATTGTGACTAATTTGCAATCAAATCTTATAGAAGCAGAGACAATAAATATTGGATCTGATCATGGTGTTAAAGTTGGCATTTGTCGTACAAGAAATCAATTTGTTGATAATAATCCTGACGCAGTAAGCTTCGAACGATTTCAGTTTCCTGTCAGGGTTGCTTTTTGTATGACTATCACAAAGGCTCAAGGGCAAACTTGTGAACGTTTGGGTATTGATTTTAATGACGAGCCCTTTGCCCATGGGCAATTATATACAGCCTTATCACGTGCCCGAAGTGGCGATTTTATTAAAATTTTTGCTCCGAAAAAACCAAATAATGATGGAAGTATTTCTATAAGAAATGTTGTTGCTAATGGAATTTCTTTTGATTAAATTCAATATAAAATAGTCTTTTTTGTAGGGGTTTTTTGATTTGTTCATGAAAGTTGTATTTTGGTGTTACTTTTGGTTGAGTTTTTATTATTTATATATTGTTTGTTGTGGAATGGTTTTTTGGTTTTATATTTATTATTTTATTTGGGGTATGATTATTTACTTTTGCCCCGAAATGCTTTTGCATTTAAATTTTATTTGTTTGTGACTCATTTTAGTTTCTTGAAATTTGTGTTTAATTTATATGTTTTTCATTTGCGCTTTAAGTATTGTTGGTATTTTTAGTGGTGTTTAATTATGTTAGATAAAGTAAGATTTGTTTTGTTTATTATTTAATTAGGAGTTGTTTAGATTTTTGGAAAGTTTTAATAGAAATGTTATATTTTTCGTAATATTGGTGTACTGTTGTTCTGTTTATATTATTTTTTGTGGAACGTTTTTTGGGGTTTGTGGAACGTTTTTTGGGGTTGTATTATTAAATAATAGTATTTTTGGGGTTGTATTATTTAAAAATTAGTTTTTTTGGGGTGTTTTTTAAACAGAATTTTATTTATTTAATTATTTTTATAGTTTGAGTTTTAATTTTATTTTTTTATTCACTTTTATGTCCAATAGGGGCATAATCGCACGGGAGGCTTTATGCCAACCGGTTAAGTATTTCATTGTTGTTTAATGATTTATTTTTTTTATTTATTATTCACTTTTATGTCCAATAGGGGCATAATCGCACGGGAGGCTTTATGCCAACCGGTTGAGCAATTTCTTTTGTTTTTTATTTTTTTTTCACTTTTATGTCTAATAGAGACATAATCGTACGGAAGGCTTCTGCCGACCGATTTAGCATTTAATTTGTTTTTTATTATTATTTATTCACTTTTATGTCCAATAGGGGCATAATCGCACGGGAGGCTTTATGCCAACCGGTTGAGCAATTTCTTTTGTTTTTTATTTTTTTTTTCACTTTTATGTCTAATAGAGACATAATCGTACGGAAGGCTTCTGCCGACCGATTTAGTATTTCATTGTTTTTTGTTTGTTTTTAAGTTTATTTTAATTATATTAATTATATTTGGGGGATTTTTATTATTTATTTTTTTATTATTTATTTTTGGGGTGGGTCCCTCCCACGGGGTACAGGGTTTGCCCGTTTACCTCCGTGCACCTCCACGTGGTGTACCCTGGGCATTGTTGTATAATTAGAAAATGTTTTACAACAATGGCTAAGCACGGTAAAAAACGGGAAGAGTTGAAATTAAATAAATAATGTAACTGTTTCTAGCAGCGCGCGAAGCGCGCCCCAAAGCCGTTAGGCTTTCCAACGGGCACCCCAAACTAAACAGCCAGAGTATCCTAATAGGAATTGCATACGCACTACGCCGCCATCGCATACGTAACCCATAGCTAGTTATAATAGTATAAAAAAAACCTCGACTTCAACTTTAAAAAAAGTCCCTGGCCCGGCCGAAGGCCGGGACGACCGGGAAAGTTATGGAAGGGTCCTACAACTTTTTGAGGGCTATTCAGGAAAACTCCGACTTTGGCGCCATGACTTTTCCTTTGCGCCGAAACGACCCCATGTGAGTTGCTATCTCGTGAACCAGAACCTGGAGCAAAAAACTTCTGCTGGTAGGAAATTAAGTTGGAGTAGGTAGATATATGCAGGAAAAAACCCGGACCCGAAATCCGAACTTGGAGGGTAGTTATGCCCCGACAAAAATTCACCGATTGACGGTGAATTGTCGGTTTTTGTCGGACTAAACTTTAAAAAAACTCAGGCTCCCGGCCGAAGGCCGGGAGCCCTCGGAAAGTTATGGATGGGTCCTACAACTTTTTGAGGGCTATTCAGGAAAACTCTAACCTCGGCGCCATGACTTTTCCTTTGCGCCGAAACGACCCCATGGGTTTTGATATCTCGTGAACTAAAAGTCGGAGCGGAAAATACCCGCTGAAAGGGCACTGCGCCTCTATTAGGGGATTTCAACAAAAAAAAAATTTTGGAAATCGGGTGAAGTCGCGGGGACTTATGCGTTGGCAAACCGAAGTGACGCTTTGGCAAAATGTCGTGCCATTAGGTAGCGGTCTTTTGTACCTTTTCTATATCTCGGGAACGGCTGGGTGGATTGAGATGGGACCTGGGGGCGTATTAGGTAAACGGCCAAGAGAAATTTTTTGGGGTGGGTCGTTTCGGCGCCGGACTTGAGTGCGGCGCCGAAATGGCCCGATGAAAAATTTAAACGGTTATAACGGGTTTTTGAGAAGTGTGGGGTTCTTGGGCCTGGGAGTGATGTTGGAGGGTAGAGTGTGGGGAAGTTATCAATAGTTGACCACTTGAGTCTCGGGTGAACTTTTGGGGGTGTTTTGGTTCAAAGTGTCGGAGTCGAAAAGTCGACTTTTTGTAACGTGAATTGAAACTTGATTTCGATACCCAGTTCGAAAGAGCGTCCCCTGGCGGTCAGAAAAAGGTATAATATGTTGGGGGTCCACTTGAGTCTCAAAAAGTTATAGCCATTGTGGCAAAATGGCGCGAAACTTTATGAGACTCTAACGTCCCGGGGAAATTTTTTTAAATTTTTTCGAGGCCGGATTCGTACTCAGCGGGTACGAATACACCATATAGGCCGTTTTTTAGGTCAGAAATTAAAAATTTTTTTCCCGACCCCTTTCCAAAAGGGGTACCCCTTTTGGGGGATTTTCGCGATTTTTTAAATCGCCATAACTTTTTTTGGGATTTTCGGATTTAGATGGGGTTTCTTTCTAAAAATAGTCCAAAAAATTAGGTATTTTACAACCGAAGAAAATTTCGAAAAAAGTCGAAATTGAGCCCGAGGGGGTCGAATTTCGAAAAACCCAAAATTTTTCGATTTTTCGAAAAAATTTCGGGTTTTTTGCCGGCGGTTTGGGGCGATGGTATTTTTCCTGGATAGAGCAGATTTTTCTGCATAGAATAAGCTTTTGAAATTTCCAAAAAGGGTATACTTTGGATGAGTTATGAATTTTTAAAAATTTGGGTGATTTTTTCGGCCGAAATTTTCGACCAAAAAAATAAATTTTTAAAAAAGGCCATAATTGGGCCAAATGATATATCAAACGAGAGCTCTCATCGAGGGGAGTCTAAAAATATTTTTTAAAAAATTTTCTGACCCTTTTGGCCAAAGTTATGGTCGGTCGAAGGTTTGAGTCTGTGGGGTACTTTTGCCGGTGGGGTACCTAAGGAGGGGTAATAAATAAAAAAAACTTACGTTATATTGTAGAGCATCATCAATTCCATCTAAAAAATATAAACTTTTAAGGGGGTCACTTGAGTCTGAACAAGTTATGGGGCTTTATTATTTTTTAGTCTGGGGGGCAACTTTAGCCTGTGGGGTACCTAAGGAGGGGTACTAAATTAAAAAGACTTACGTTAATTTGTAGAGCATCCTCAAAACCACCGAAAAACATATACATTGTTGGGGGTCCACTTGAGTCTCAAAAAGTTATACCCAATGTTCGCAAATGTCGCGAAAATTTTTGAGACTCTAACGTCCCGGGGAAATTTTTTAAAATTTTTTCGAGGCCGGAAATGGACTCAGCGGGTACGAATGTACCATATAGACCGTTTTTTGGGTCAAAATTCAAAAATTTTTTCCCCCACCTTATTTTCAAAGGGGTACCCCTTTTGGGGAAAATTCGGGATTTTTTGAGGGACCTTAACTTTTTTTGGGATTCTCGGATTCGGATGGGGTTTCTTTCTAAAAATACTTCTAAAAATTAGGTATTTTTTCACCGAAGAAAATTTCGAAAAAAGTCGAAATTGGGCCCGAGGGGGTCGAATTTCGAAAATCTGAAAATTTTTCGGTTTTTCGAAATTTTTTCGGGATTTTTGCCGGCGGTTCGCGCCGAAAGTATTTTTAGTGGATAGAGCAGAATTTTCTGCATAGAATAGGCTTTTAAAAATTTTCAAAAAGGTCTACTTTGGGAAAGTTATGAATTTTTGAAAATTTGGGTGAAATTTTCGGTCGAAATTTTCGGCCAAAAAAATATTTTTTCCAAAATGAAAATAAATGGCCCAAATGTTATATCATTCGAAAGCCCTTACCGAGAGAAGTCTACAAATATTTTTTTTTAAAATTTCTGACCATTTTGGCAAAAGTTATAAATGGTCAAAATTTTGGGGGTGGGTGGTACCATAGTCAATGGGGTACCAAATGAGTTGGAATTAATTAAAAAGACTTACGTTATATTGTAGAGCAGCCTCAAATCCATCGAAAAATATGTAATATGTTTGGGGGGTCATTTGAGTCTGACCAAGTTATGGGTGTCAGAGTTTTCGGGATTGGGGGTTTTGGGGGCCGAAGGCCCCCAACTCCGAGGCCGAGGATTTTTGGCGGCGAGGGCCGAAGGCTCGGGCCGAAGGCCGAAGGCTCGGGCCGAAGGCCCGAGCCTTGCATCCAGCTCTCGACGCAAGGCAAATGAATTTCGAGGGCCGAAGGCCCGAGATTTGCATCTATCCCTCGGGGCATTTTAAAAGTGAGTCGAGGGCCGAAGGCCCGAGCTTAAGACCCATCCCGAAACGTATCGCGAGGGCCGAAGGCCCGAGCCTATGATCCATCCCAAAACGAATCGCGAGGGCCGAAGGCCCGAAGCGATGAAAAGGCAGGGCTAAACTTTACGGCGAGGGCCGAAGGCCCGAGCTTAAGATCCATCCCAAAATGAATCGCGAGGGCCGGAGGCCCGAGCTTAAGATCCATCCCAGAACGAATCGCGAGGGCCGAAGGCCCGAAACGATGAAAAGGCAGGGCAAAACTTTATCGGCGAGGGCGAAGGCCCGAAGCGATGAAAAGGCAGGGCTAAACTTTACCGGCGAGGGCCGAAGGCCCGGAGCAATGAAAAGGCAGAGCAAATGTTACCGTTTCTAGCAGCGCGCGAAGCGCGCCCCAAAGCCGTTAGGCTTTCCAACGGGCAAAAGTATCGTAACCAAAGGCTCCACCTATTAAATTCCAGTGCATACGTAACTTACCGCC